CTCATGAGCAAGTCATTGAGGAGGAAGCATTTTTCAGAGCTCCTTGACATCTGAAATAATTTTCAAACAAAAACAACCAAATATACATAACTGATCCGGTACTTGCCTCAGAGAACATAATGAGACGAGTGACCTAACCACGATAAGCTAAACGGCCAAAAACCTTCAGAAACAATACCGCGGTCATGGTAGCAACTCGTGGCCTTCTAGAATGATCCACTGTACGCCGAGTGAGGCTCAACGCAGCACTCCTTCACGATAAAGATTTTATTTCTTTAATTTCAAAAGATTTGAGGATGTATCTTACACTCAAGACAAACCCCCTGATGTTATGGGATTGTGCCAAAGCTTATTTGAGAGGCGAAATTATTTCATTTATGTCTGCAAAGAAAAAAACTGAGGGAAACTACACAGAGAAAATTAGAAGATAAAATCAAATGGTTCGAGCAGGAACATAAGCAATCAGCATAAATCAGGATTACGAATAATTTAAGGCCAGTCGAGCTCGGTTAGCAGGTAGTCCGTGGACTGGCCCCAAGTCGACTGCAAGGGGTGTAGGGGGAAATGGTGGGCGGTGTGTGAGCGTGCGTGCGTGCGCATGTTATTAATACTATATATTTTTGTGTTAGTGTACACTGCATCCAAAGCATCCTATCAGTTTCACTTTCACAAAAAATGTCTAAAAATAAAATAAAATCAAAAAGCAGGTGGTGGATGACCTGGCTCACCAGAAGTTGTTAGCGGTCAGCAGTCTGAATTGCAGCTAGCGATCAAAGCTGTTCAGATGTATCTATTTTTTGTTTATTCTCAGTCAAAGTTTGTTTGATCTGCAATTCACCGATGGCACTGGCAAAGAATGGGAATCTGGAGCGCCAGGAGAAGCATTTTAAAATGGTACATGTGAGCTACAATAGTGATGTTTCTGCACTTAACACACTGCAAAAGTGCATCCCTGCCGCCGTGTCAGGTCTCCCACTAAGGTAGGCAGTCATTTCCTTTTCTCAAACTCACAAACTCTTGTATCTACTTTATTTTTCTGTTTCTTTCATGTTCAGGGTCTGTTATAGCTGTTGCTCATCATGGCCTGTGTGTGTGTGTGTGTGTGTGTGTGTGTGTGTATATGTATATATCAAGTATCAAGTCAAGTACAACTTTATTGTCAAATGTGGGGAGTATGCATGTACGTGCGGTAATGCGTCGATCGTGGGAGGGTTGGCTGCTTGAAAATACATCTTGGGTCAAAAAAAAGTAGGGCAACCCTGATTTAAGGGCACCCCACAGGCACACGAACAGCCTCTCCCCTAGTCTGACAAGACTGGGGGAACCTTAAGATTTACAAATCAGAAATACTATGAAGATGGAAATAGGGCAAGTAAATTATTAACATTTAGGCTGAGAAAGCACTGATCTATGAATATTGTGCAGAAGATAAACTCACAAACCAATATGGCCACAAAACCAAACAAAAATAGTTGGGGCCTTTGCAGAACTCTATGAATCATTGTACAAGAACACTGACACATGCTGCAATGATGCAGACCTCTCACATTACTTAAAGAATATAAAACTAACTGAGCAAACAAAAATCAACTGGCTAGGAATTACATAAGCCAATTGAAGAATCTGAAATCAAGCAGGCGATACCATGCTCTGAACTGGTAAGAGCCCAGACACACACGGTTTTAAGAAGCAAAAGATGGTCTCAAATATCTCATCATCTCTATCTCTCTCTCTATTTAGCTAACTGGCTATCAACAAAAAACGATTTAATATAAAAGTGAGCATACTCGATAAAAGCATAAACATTTACAGTATATAAAGTAACCCAAATGTTTTTCAATGGAACTGTTTAATATCTGGTTGTCCAACAATGTCAATTCTAGTGTCACCTTACCAGACTTGAAACGATTTCAGTTGTTCGCTGGCCTTTATGCATCCAGCTTTTTCTTGAAACTTTCCCATAGTGCCTCCAGCTGCTCTCACCTCCTTTTGGAGACCAGGACTTGTGCCACATCAGGTTTTTAATTCTGTCTGCCCAGCTCGTCGGAGGTTTGTAGAGAGCCACGGAAAGGCCTCTCCTCACCATGTTTGTAGTAGCTTCCTGTGCTGAGTTGTAAAGGCACGTCTCTCTCTCTCTCTCTCTCTCTCTCTCTCTCTCTCTCGCTCTCTCTCTCTCTCTCTCTCTCTCTCTCTCTCTCTCTCTGTCTCTCTCTCAGAATCTTCTCATTCTCTTTAAATTAATGTTCCACAAATATAATTGATGCAGTGTTGCTCTCAGCCACCATGTATTCTTTTTTCTTTTTTCTTTTGTCCCGTCTCACTCATCCCTCTTGATCTGGTATCTTGTTTTCCAATTTAGCTCTCACTTTAACAGCTCCAATGTAGCTTTTTTTTTTTTTGCGCACCACTGTAATCTTGATGATGATGATGATCATGACAGATGTGTTTTGAGGCTTGTATAGTCTTTAGACTGGCGACTGGCTATATTATAAAGGGCAAGCAGTATTGTCAGTTTACATGTTAATCACAGCATTTATAGTGTTACAAAAGTTTTTAAAAAATGCACAAACACGCATACACCACCTGACACACACTCATGCACATGCACACACAATTTTAAATGACTATTATGCCCATTTTATTAACATTTGCCAACATCTGCATAACACATGACAAATTATTGAAAAAGCTATGACATGTCAGTGTCATGAGAAAGTATTTGCCTCCTTCCTGATTTCTTTCTTTGCATATTCATCAGGTTTGAGTTCATCAAACCGATTTTATCACACAGAGACAACCAAAGGAAATAAAAACTGCAGTTTCTAAAAGACAATTGAATTATTAAGGCACAGCAAACAGGCTATATGTATGTATTGGTGTGTGTTTTATATATACAGTGATCCCTCGCTACTTCGCGGTTCGTTTATCGCGGGTTCAGTGCATCGCGGATTTTTTCAAACATTAAAAAAAAATTGTTTTACATGGAGTACAGTACTGTATATGTTGCTCTATGTGACTCGCCGTTGTTTTGCAGCTTCTCGCGGACCGTTTGCGCACTTAATTTTTTATTTTTTTTTACCTGTTTATGTTAATTGGTCGCTGCTTCGCGGATTTTCGTTTATCGCGGGTAGTTTTGGTCCCCATTAAACGAGGGATTACTGTATGGATATATATATATATACACACCGTGTACAGGTATATATATATATATATATATATATATATACACACACACACACAAGGGTCGCGGGAGGTGCTGGAGTCTATCCCAGCCGTCTTCGGGCAGTAGGCGGGGCACACCCTGAACCCGTTGCCAGCCAATCGCAGGGCACACACAGACGAACAACCATCTGCGCTCACACTCGTACCTAGGGACAATTTCGATTAGGTTCAATCAGCCTGCCATGCATGTTTTTGGAATGTGGGAGGAAACCAATCCACACAAACATTCACAGGCCACGTAAGTCCATTGCACACTATCCAAAAGATGGGTGGGCAATTCATTTTGTAAAGGGGCCACATGAGAAACTGAAATGCTTGCCAAAGGCCACACCAGCTTTGACTCTCTCTCTCTCTCTCTCTCTCTCTCTCTCTCTCTCTCTCTCTCTCTCTCTCTCTCTCTCTCTCTCTCTCGATCGATCGATAGATAGATGGCACGATGGTCAGCATGTCCACCTCACAGTGCAGAGGAGCAGGGTTCACTTCTGCCTCTGGCCTTCTAATGGAACATTCATAATGATTCCTTGGTTTGTTTGTGAGTGTCGATGGTTGTTTGTCTGTGTGTACCCTGCGATTGGCTGGCAACCAGTTCAGGGTGTACCCCACCTACTGCCCGAAGACAGCTGGGATGGTCTCTTGGGATGGACCCTTGTAAGCATAAGCGGATCAGAAAATGGATGGATGGATCGATGATGGATGTATGGATATCTACACACACATCCACTAATGCTAAGAAAACTACTAATAACATCAACTCTTCCTGTAAACCTTGTGGCGTTTTACAGAAAAACTGGAGCAAACGGGGCAAAATGAATGGTACCACTGCCTTCAGTGGAAAAAACTAATCCAGAAAATATTTGTCATTCTTGTTCATTTTTCTTTTGACGCAGTATTTATTAAATAAGTTTTATATGATGCACATAGATTAGACTGACGTGTTTTGTATAAGCATCTAATGCGGCGCCTCCAAGTGAGCTATAATCTCTCTCGATGCACCAAAGATCTTGCATCGGAGCCATACAGACTGTACTCTAGACTGGGTGGTCTCGGTGTAAATTCTGCCATTCGTATCTGGTGCGGGTCGTCAGTCTTTTAAATTTCCTGGCTAGCATAGCAAATGTTTGCAGAACCCATAGTGCATAAATATGCACGTGTGAGTGCGTGTGTGCCAACTCCCACCTCCCAAACTCGGCAAAGAAGTTAAAAGAAAGGAGAGGGATGCAGCGTGATTGCATGATGATGACTTATGTAAACAAACAAGCATGCAAATGACCATGTAACGAGTCAAATTAAAAAAACAAAACAAAAAAAAACAAGCAATCATTTCTATTTTTTTCCTCATCCAACAATAAGTCAGTATTGTAAAGTAATAAGAATAAAGTTTGGGTCCCCTTTGAGACATATGTAGTGCACAATATAAACGAGTGCACTACTTTGTCAAAACAGTTTCTCATTGAACGCAAGAATATTTTCAGAATGTTGAAGAGACTAAGCTGCGATTAAATTGTGGTGTTTTATTTTTTTACATGCACAATTTAGGTTTTGCTTGACTTAAATTGGTGTGTTGTCTTTTTGTAATACATTAGAAAAATACATTTTTGTGTATACATTGACAAATCTAATTTATAATCAAAGGCCTACATTTGATGGAATAAATTGCTGTAAAGTAAGACAGAGAACATTTAAAAAAATGGAAAAACATTTGTAATCTGTGATGAACAATATTTCTTGTCTGTGGAGCACTGTGGATCAATGTGCTTATGTCCCTCTATTCCCATCAGGTGATCAAGACGTGCAAGAAGATGGGTATTCGGACCGTTGCTGTCCATAGTGACGTCGACGCCAATGCTGTGAGTTCAATTTTACTTGAGTTTTGAGTTGGCTGTTTAGCTCTGTATTTGTGCGGTTGAGAGAGAGGGGAGAGAAAGTGACCCATACAATGAGAAGGTTATTCAACAATAAAAGAGTGGGGCGCTGTTAAAGATTTATGACACGTTGAAGGTGTTGATGTTAGAAGACAGTTTTTTTTGGGGGGGGGCTTTCGCAGTGTGTATCCATGAGAGTTGAGTCGCATTGCCATTTAATGTGGAGTCCATTTAAAGTTTAAGTGCTGCTGCTGCTGCTACCGATGGACATGCACAAATGTTTGCATTAGTTGGCGCTAAACTGGCCTAGCTAATATTGGTATTCGTGCCAGTTTACCTCAGTTAATGTACCTTATGTCTGTTTGGTGAATTTGACAAGAACATTTGAAAAGATGCCCATCCACGTTGACGAGTGCTTTTTGACACCAGTGAAATTGCTGAACACGTCACAGTGGACCAATGAAAGTATACGAATCTGCCCTCAAACTGAATATTCACCCATCGGCTATTTGTGGTTGGAACACCACAATCCACATCTGCTCGAGGAACTGGTTTGGGAGAGGGAGAGAGGGAAGGGAGGGAGGGAGGGAGGGAGAGAGAGATAGATAGAGAGAACCCTGTGTGCGCGGGGTAGATTGAAGGAGGAATTGAGAGTCAAAATAAGCAGATTTGAGTTTAATGGCAATTAGGGAACAAGTGCATTTCTGCAGTGCGTCTAAAAATAATCTGCAAATTTTTCTCATGTGACAACAAAAGTCTGAGAAGTTTTGGGGCACTGTGTAACTGTTGCTGCATAATGTTTGTACAAATTAGTTTCTATGTCTTAAATTTAGCTGTTGCGGCTTTTAATAAGGTGTGGTTTCTAGTCCGGAAATTACGGTATATATGTTAAAAAAAAAAAGGACACAGACACGTGCGCTAATGCGCCTCACCCCCACCCAGCCACTATATGCGAGTATGCACTTGATGATTCAGTTAACCATTTTGTCAGTTTAACTTTAGCGGTTTAGGTATGTTTCAAGTATGGGCGTTGGAAGGTTTACTAAATAGAAATATTTTAAATGTGGTTTAAACTTGATCTCTACATTGTGGATTTTCATCTGCTTTGGGTGGGTCTCGAAAATATCTCCTGTGATAAACGGGTAGAGCAGTAATAATATCTTTTTACAGGGAGTGGAGTTCATTTTCTCCAATTTTTCCACCCTTTTGACTGTGAAGTCCTGGCTTACTTGCATGCACTGGGTGCAATATCATCTTAGGCCAAAGTGTAACTCATCTGCTAACTAGATGGCAACAATTGCAGCTTGTTTATGCTGGACATTCAGCAAGTAGGTTCTGCAAGCTACTTGCTAGATATGAACCTGCACAAGCCACTGAAACAAAGATAAACTGTATAAATGTGTTTCGATTATACTTACTGTATTATATTGGGATGTTCCAATCAGGGTCTTAAGGTGACGATACCCATCATCCATGAGTGTGATCGACTGACACCGATCAGATGGATTTTGTGTATACATTACTTTGAATTAACAGTGCAGAAATTGCACAAACAAATTATGATTCCGTGAATATTTTGGTTTGTAACATATCAGAAAATAGGGGGAAAATGTTTATCATTATTTTCACCACAGGAAAAGCAGCTGGTTGCAAATGTCCTATACGGATTAAACACAAAGATCACTTGTCACGTTTACATATAGCCTTGTGTTCTAATTAGAATGAAGCCAAATTACTAAATGGAATGAAAATAGTTAATGTTACACAACACAGGGAAAATCAGTCTCATTTTATTTTGGGTTCAGAGCCGTGGCATATTTCTGTTGCCAATCCTACTGGAGTATGAAATTACTAATTTAATTGTTAATAGCATAAAAGTATACAGTATATAAGTAAGTATCATCACAAAAAGTTGTCGAAGGAAAATAAGAATGCTTCAAGTAACATTTTGGAAGAGTTACGTTTGACCTTTCTTCAATTGTGGTTTCTTTATCTGAACACTGGGTGGCACACACACATGAACTTGAATAAGATAAGATAAGATATCCTTTATTTGTCCCACACTGGGGAATTAAGACGACAAAGAAGAAATTTGACTTGGCATCATGTAATGGTGCTCTGCCACACTGTAAAAATGTGAATAATTAAAGAAATAATAGACTCACTATGGGTGGCACGGAGGTCAAATGGTTAGCTTGTCCACCTCACAGTGCAGAGGTCGTGAGTTTGAATCCAGCCCCGGCCTTCCTGTGTGGGGTATACATTTTCCTGCAGTGCCTGCGTGGGTTTCCTCCAGGGACTCCGGTTTCTTTCCACATTTTGAACACTCTGAATCACTGGTGTCAAACGCAAGGCCCGGGTCCAAATCTGGCCCGCCACATAATTTTATGTGGCCCGCAAAAGCCAATCAAGCATGTCAACTTCCATGATGCTTCCGAAAATCTGTACCAAAAGTTAAAATGATCATATGTAATAAATGAGAGCTGTCGTCAGCATTTTCATGTTACCAAACCCCTCATTGCAATCGCTTAAATTTTTGAAGAAACGATTGCCCTTGACTTCTTTATTTGGTTTCACAGTCATCATGGCCCTCCAAGGGAAATGACAACTGCAATGTGGCCCGTGACAAAAATTAGTTTGACACCCTTGCTCGAAATTTTCCACAGGTGCGATTGTGAGCGCGGATGGTTGTTTGTCTATGTGCGCCTTGCCATTAGCTGGCAACCAGTTGAGGGTGTACCCCGCCTCCGGCCCGATGGCAGCTGGGATAGGCTCCCTCCAGCACGTCTGTGACCCTCTTGAGGATAAGGGGATCAGATCATGGATGGATAGACTGACTATTGAGATTACCACAGCTATCAAACTTGAATGTGTGGTATTTGTCTTAAAAGCGATCGCCACCCATTCTGAAAGTATCTATGGTCATCGAAGGTTGCATCCATATGATGAGCTGAGCGCAACGAAGCTAGATGCTAATGTCCTCTATCGGTGGCACCGTTCGCTCTCAAAGAAGGCAAAGCCCATGTATGTCCATTAATAATAAGCCACATCTTGCTCAATTCTGAAATGATTTTCATGAGCCTGACTTTTTTGTCAACGCCAAAATCTGTGCTATCAATACAGAGCACGCATCCTTATTTTTGTGACAGCGATGAACATAACGCAGCAATACTGCACAGGGGTGTCATATGATTGAGCCACACGGTCCCAGTGTGCATTACATAGTGCATTATATTTAATTAATGAAGTTATAAAGATGTTAATCCTTATCGTAAATGTGTGCTTCTGTTACCAGTAATTGAAAGTGTGTCATATTTAAACGCTAACATTGATGTCACAGTTTATATAAACTGTGACTTTAGGTTGTGTCAGGTCTACGAGGCAATCAGACCCGTAAGGCAAACTTTAAAACACAAGAGAGATAAGGAATCAAGCAGAGTTGTCTTTTACCTGTGCACAAGGAGAGTGAACGAGTATAATCCATTACAATCTCCGAACAGCTCTGGAAACACTTTGCTCGTGATGTGATTAATACACAAAGACAAACACTTGGAAGAAGTTGATGGTATTGTAAAGTGCTTGGTGGTTGCGCCTTCTCGGCAGAGCACATTAAGCAGCACTGATTTTGATTGGGAGGAATGTCGGCACTATTTAACTGTCACCTCTGGACAGCCCCGGGTCGCTTGTGTTTTTTGCGTCTGTCATGGGCAGCATTTTTCACTGCGCTCTTTTGTTCAACGGAGATGGCGGCGCTGTTGGACAGTCTGCGTTGGTGTGGCTGAATGGATGGCTTGTGGAGCAGAGGATCAGGAGAGAGGAGCGTCGGCGCCAAGCGCGGATGCGTATTTGGAACTGAAAGTCGCCGCTTGGAATTGAAACGGATTTACATACGAAAGAAGTGAACCAATCTGTTTTTTTCGTCAATGGACGCTAAAGCTTCTTGTTTACTTTCAAACTTAGCGTGTAACCGACGTGTGCACATTTTGAGCATGTCTCCTCTGATCCACCGGTGAAAGGACACTTTGATTCTCTCCTATTTCATCTGGAACTGCTTCAAACAACAAAGCCTATGCAGGAAAAGTGGTTAAAAAATGCATGACTGTCCGTGTCTTCTGTTATGTGTTGTTTTTATTGTTTTACTTTATGTTAACTGTTTTGTTAAGCGCTTTGTTACAGCTGCAGCTGTTGTGAAAGTGCTACATTAATCAGGATGTATTCTATTGTATCGTAAATTACTGTGTACTCTTCTGTGTATCCAGGTTCATGTCAAGATGGCTGATGAGGCAGTATGTGTTGGCCCTGCCCCCACTAGTCAGAGCTACCTCAACATGGATGCGATTTTGGATGCTGTCAGAGATACTAAATCCCAAGCTGTAAGTTTTTCCTGTTGAATAAATATTTATTAATTTACTAACATTTAGGGCTTTTTTTACTTACACCCTTAACTAGGGATGTTCGAGAGCACTTTTTTTCCAGACCGATACCAGAAAGAGTGTTCAACTTTTGAGTAGTCAACGATACCAAGCACCAATACCACAAGTAGTTTAGATACCTAAAATTTTAATCAAACGAGTGACAGATAATTTTAAAGAATATTATTAGGCACATATCTTAATTGCCTCAGTTATTCTTTGGCCCAAATTCATATATCTGCATAATTTAACGCTTCTTCCACTGCTGCACCATCCTGCCTTTCTTCCCATGTTATTGGCCAATTACAAGACTTATTAAAATCTCCAAACACTATCTGCCGAAGTCTTTCAGTTACTTGTACGTTCGGTTAAAGTTAGTACAAATTTGAATGTATTAGAAAACAAGTTCAAATGTATTTTTATTTGTAAGGGCCGCAACTGAGTACAATGTTAAAATCGCACACTAAACTAATACAATATTGATAATTTTGTCAGGCTTGAAAAACACAGAAACTGTGTTTTCACGTCATGAAGGCCAAAACATTCTTTGGAGCAAATATGAGGTAGATCTGATTATACGGCTAGGAGCAAAACATCATAGAATAAAAAATGTATTCCCTTTAGCCAGCAGGTGGCACCACCACTAAGATGAAAAATAAATTAATAGATGTCTTCAGGCCTGGATTATCATCAAATCTGTGAAACTTGGAGAAGATAAGATCATTTGGGTGACGTTACAATAGCTTTTATCGGTTGGTGTTTTCAGACATTTCGCGATGCACAAGTTTGATGTGACACCAAAGCAGGCATCTATTAGCCCCTCTCAGCTAACAGGCTAACACCACTGTTTTGAAATGTTAATGTTGTTACCCCAGCTATGTATATCTCCAATGTGTTCATTTTATTTCCTTCTTTGTCAAGGTTCACCCAGGATATGGCTTTCTTTCCGAAAACAAAGAGTTTGCAAAGAGACTAGTGAGTACAGTCCTCATTCCTCACTGGCCAGGGATCTCACTTATCAAAGAGTACCAAGGATTCTAACTTCAAGTGTATGTTCAGTCGTACCTCGTTTCAACGTACCCTGTTTACGTTTTCACCGCTATAATGTTCATATTTTAAAATCCCGATTTCACGTCATTCATTTGCCGATTTTCCTTCCAATGAACACCTTTATAATGTAAACTTCATTATAATGACCAGATATTTCTCACAAAATAGTGAAAAGGCCTTCGTTACAACAAACCGTGGGAAGCTAGCTGCCGCTGCGATCTTGCTTCTGAACAAAAATGTACGGCGCTGGATTCCTCTCCGTTGCTTAGCCACACTACTGATCAACTCGATTCCTGTTGTACTTCCTGCCGTAATTCATGGAGGTCCCGGCGTGGTCTGAAAACATGTATGGTAAACGAAAACAAATCTCACTGACTGTGAAGGCTGAAACTGTTTCTCACTTTCGAAAGGGAATCTCCCAGGCGAAGCTCAGCCCGAGACTGCGTGAATTGATGATATTTGGCTTTGTCGGCGGCACTGGCAGTTGCCTATGGCGAGTAGCATTTGCTTTGCTAAGATTTGGTGGCCATTTTATTGCAAATGGCTACAACGAACTACCATTATAACATATAGATTTGTTATGTCCCTTGACGTATGTTGGAAAGAGGTTCGACTGTATGCACAAAAGCTGAAATTGGCGTATGAAAAAATCTGACCTATCAAACTGGAGGATGTTTTCCCTTGATAAGTGACTGAACCTGGGAACCCACATGCACTGCACATGCCCAATGGTCAATGTAGTAGCAATAAATGAAAATGAATTCGCCCCGTGGAAACAAGGAAGGGAATATTGCTTGGTAGCTAAATTGGCAGCGACCACAAAAACAACAAAACACGACGGGCACGACGGAAGGATTAAAACAAAGTGGTCGGACTTGGAAGGAGGTGTCATCCCCCACAAATAAATGAGTGGGTATTGTGATGGTGGACGTGCACGCACGCACGCACACACACTCACACACACGCACACAAATAAAAAAAAAACAGGCACACATGCCCTGATGAAAAGACAGTTTGTGGAATATGTGTTAAGCAGCACAATCCACCCGTTTTAAGCCATCTCAGGGGTCGGCCATTTTGCCACTTTCTGTCAACTGAAACATCACAGTTGCTGATGTCTCAGGTAAGGACCAATCACTTTTCACTGTAACTGTAATATGTTATTGTTATGCATTTTCTAGGCAAAAGAGTGTGTGACATTTATTGGCCCAGACACTCATGCAATCCAAGCCATGGGGGATAAAATTGAGAGCAAACTGATTGCTAAGGCTGCAAAGGTCAACACTATCCCAGGATTTGATGGGGTGGTCAAGGTATGTGAAAAGCACTGACTCAATGAATCATTTTCTGAGTCTGCGATCTGATCATTCCAGTTGTTTAGGATGATTATTTTAAGGAAATTTGTATTCTTAACAGTGCTATCTTAATGGCTCGTTGTTTTTAAAATGCAACTATCAGTTTACATTTGTTTTCTGAAACCAAAACCCTCTGTTCTAGACTCCAGAGGAAGCTGTAAAAATCGCCCAAGACATTGGTAAGTCATCATTTCTGACCAGTTAGATTTTTGTATCGAAACAAACAAAAACCTCTTAACCAATTTGACCTTTTCTGCTATTGTCAAGACAAAAGCTGCTTTTGTTTTGTAGTTACACAGATTCCTTGATATGGTACAATACTGTAACTCTCGGTGTCATACACTGTATACATTTTCAGTTTTTTCACTGTGTGTGAGCATTCATTGGTGATGTTCGAAAGATTCATCATTTTGGCAAAATGAAATTTTATTTATTTGTTTGTGTACTTATTTTTGACTGTTGTTATTTTTTGCTTGATTGTTTTTGTTACTGCTAGGCTACCCAGTAATGATAAAAGCATCTGCAGGAGGAGGAGGGAAAGGAATGAGAGTTGCATGGAATGATGAGGACACGAGGTACGTCTCTTTCAGTACAGTGAAACTCCTCTACAACGAAACCTACAGGGGCGAAAATACCCCCTCGTGTGAAAAAAATCTTCATGCATTATAAACGATTCCCACTACAAAATCTTTTTCTCTGCCCTTGTCTCGCAACGAGATTCACGACAGCGAAAACAAGCCTTCGGCAAAAGTCTAATCCAACCTCAGCCTACAGTGACTCCTACTGCTTAACTCGGAAACGGCAACAGCAGCCACCACAATGGTTTGCACATGCACAGTGGTACAGGATGTATTTGTTATTGTTAGTTTCAAACAAAGTCCGAACATTGCATTGCTAAAATGGCTACAAAAACGGACCTTTGTAGACCAAGGAGTGAAGAAAAGAAAAGCTTTAACGCTTGAAGACAGGATAAAAGTAATACAAATGAAAGATGGAGGAAGCAAAGTAAAAGACATGCAAGACATTGATATAAGTGAAAGTGAATGCTGATTGTAAATTTTGCAATTTCTTTCCCTTTTTTTCTTTCTAAATTGGCTATATGAAGTGTCAAATAAGTGTATGCTCATATGTATGCACTATTGGAATAAAAGTAAAGAGTACAGTACACATACGTTTGTGTGTGTGTGTGTGCGTGTGTGTGTTTACATCTGACATAAATTTGCTATCGTGAAAAGTCCCCTGTTGTGAAAATTTTTTTGCTGCAAACATGATTTCGTTGTAGAGGAGTTTCACTGTAGCACGTAATTTAGTCATGAAATTGGTCTTTTTTAAGTAAAAAAAATTAAAAGACACAGTTTTCCATTGAACTTTACGTTCCGTACTGTTGGCCCTTTCACACCGAAATTGTGATTTAGTTTCTGGTACATTAGCTCTTGAGACAAAACGTTCATCTGGCCCATGATTGTTTTGCTTTCCTTCAGTGGCTGAAATCTGTAGAAATGATAAGAGGCAGCATTACACAGCATGTCTTATCTCTGTCTCTGCAACACAAAATAGCTCAGTTCTATGCCGTGCAGGCGTTACTGCCTCTCTGCCTTTTTCCCTCTTTAATGTTTAATAAGAAACGCACTATAATGAATACAATGGTGTGGTGTGAGGTTACATCTTATACTGTAGGGGTGTGCGAAGTGTGTGGTGGCCATTGGGAATTTCTGGAGATTCTTGAACAGCCAGTTTATTTCCAGCCGAAATTCATGCCTATCAGGACCCCCCCCCCCACCACCCCCATCATATGATAAACTACATAATTAAACTATGTATAATTTTATATATATATATTTTTAAGGACTACCTAATGGATGGTTGTGAAGGTGAAATCCAAACCAAAAAAATATTCCTTTTTGGGTAGATGTCTGATATGGTCTTTATTCCATTAAAAAGGTACCAACCACTAGATTTCATATGTTGAAGAGAAGTATTTAAGATTTCAGTTGTTGAGTTTTAAATTTTGTGCGAAATCTAGCCAAGAATATAACATTGCGATACTGAACCGGCGAGCGTAGAGGCAGGTGAGGATGCGGCGACGGAAAATCCGGCACCAACATTGTTCTAACCCACGATTGTGATGTCTTTGAGTGAGACACTCTTACCTCGAACTGTTCCCCAGACGCTTAAGTAACTCCCTTCTCCAGTGTGTGTTCACTGTGTCTGCAACTGTAATGGGTGAAATGTGTGCTGCGTGCATATGTCAATAAAATATCATTATTCTATTCTTCTTCAATTATTATGATACAATATGTCAACCTTTGGCCGTCGGTTTAATGTGGTGGGAAACACGTTACGACCTTTGGGTAGTCGGTGGCTGTAGGCTGTAGTCGGTGCACTGTCACTTGTAGCGGGACCGTCAGTTGGCAGTTTAACAGAAACAAAATGTGCAATATATGTTTCATCTTCATGCTGCACTGGACACCTTAAGCCCACTGGAGAATGCACGCAGAATGCATCTTATAAATTTGACACACCACACAAAAGAGAATTGTTGTAAATGTCTGCCTAAATTTGTTGAATAAAAATAGAAAAAAAATGCTGTTACAAAAGAGGACAAATGTTAACAGTTTTTCTAAATTGCTCAGTCTCAAACAACAGCTTTGCCTTTAATGCCAGAACTACGCTGATTGCATGCCAGCTCTGATTTTCTTCGACTTGGGTTCAAGTTGCTGTTTCTCTATTGTATTTTTAACGGAAGGCAAGTAGCCGTTTGGGCATCAGACAACAGGCTAGTATCCTCCGCAACAGTGTTTCATTGACAAATTTGCCACTTGCTTCATAATGTGGTATAAATGGGGCCAAGTGGTTTTTAATTGATGAAATACCCCAACACCAACGTGGTGTATACAATATATTCAGCTCTGCTGCTGCTGCAAAAAATGGATGGCTTGCAAGCTATTTGTTTGAGAGGGTGGTGGTCAATAGCTCCAGCACGTTATGATTTGCAAATATTTTACTAAAACCATGAAATGTGTTTGTTTGTGTGTTTTCTTGTTTGTTATTACAGGGAAGGGTTCCGGTTTTCATCCCAGGAAGCAGCATCAAGCTTTGGAGATGATAGACTTCTTATTGAGAAATACATCGATAACCCGAGACACATAGAGATTCAGGTATGCCGCAGTAAGTGTACAGAAAATGTTTTGATGTGTTCCATCAATTTTTGTATCGAAATCCTGTATGCTGTAAGCTAGTGTCATAAAATTTTTAATAAAATTAATTACGGAATAAATATTCTCTCTCGGCCTATGTGGAAATGTAATTGCCGCCTGAACCTAATAACTGCTTGTACCTCCCTTGCAGCAATATTTGAACCCAAGTTTTTGCCTTGTGTATGTGATGATCAAAATCAGCTCTTATGCTGCATTCCTATCCTGCTTTCAAAATCGATCTTTTGCTCCTGGTAGTCAAGGAGCCCCTGCGCCTTGTCCCACAAAATATGTCGGCGACTGATTCGTCCATGTGCGCACTTTGGAGGCCTCCGACATACAAGCCTTCAGGATTTTGGCCAGCTTTTGTAGGACCCGAATAAGTTGTCATCCAGACATTCTGCATATGTCACAACAGTGCGGCTTCATAGTAAAAAAGTGCAAGTATTAGACTGCCCCACCAGCAATCCAGACCTGTTTCCAATTTAAAGTCAGTGGCGCATTATGAAGTGCAAAATACGTCAACGAGAGCCCGGACTGTTGAGCAACTGAACTTGTAAGTCAGGCAAGAATGTGAAAGAATTCCATCTACCTAGCTAAAATAATTTGTGTCGTCAGTTTCCACACTACTATTAAATGTTGTTCAAAGGGTGTACCCCGCCTACTGCCCAAATACAGCTGGCTCAAGCATACCCGTGACACTTGTGAGGATAAGCAGTTTGGATAATGGATGGATGGATGGATGGCTAAAAGGAAAGATGATGTAAAACAGTGGAAAATATGCCACTGCCCCAGATTTTTTGGAAGGTTTTGTAGGCATCAAATTCAAAACAAATGAAACTACTAATGTCTTTGGAGTACCGTATTTTCCGCACTATAGGGCACACCAAAAAGTCTTCCATTTTCTTTCTGGTTCCGTCCTGGAGAGATGCTTCCAATGTTATAACTTGCTGTTGGTTCAGTGAACTGTGTCGCTGCTTTATTAAATACGTTTTTGTTGCGGCTCCGAAAACAGGAGAGCTGTGGTGTTGTTTTTTTTAAAACAGTCTCAACAAATGCAGGTAAGTCTTTTTCCGTTTCCGTTCCTTCTGTTCTTCAGTTCGACTCGAGAGGTGTTCAAGACCTCCTCCGAAAAACGTAAACTAATGATTGCTTCAATGAAACTGAAAATTGAAAATAATACATCAAAACTGAAAAGCAAGCGAGGCTATCACAAAATAAATTCTATAGCCCCCCCCTACAGAATTTATATTGTGATTTCATCATTTGTGAATACACAACAAAGGAATAAATAACTACTACTGACATCTGATCTGATTCTGTAGTTAGAGCTATGATCAAGGAAATGCCAATGCGTTTTTGGGAGGCGGTCATGAACGCCTCTCGAGTTGAACGGAAGAAGAGAAGGCACAAGAGAAGGCACGGAGACGGACAAAGACTCACCTGTATTTGTTGGAAAAATGAGAGCTTTGGTTTTGTTTTTTTGTTTTTTTTTACGTAGACTTTATTAATGGTTTTCACAGTCTCAACAAATACAGGTACTGTACGTCTTTGTACGTCTCCGTGCCTTCTCTACTTCCATTCTACTCGAGAGGCGTTCACGGCTGCCTCCGAAAAAAACGTAAATTAATGATTACTTCAATGAAACTACGAAGAAAATCAAGCTCGGAAATCACTAAATAAATTCTGAAGGGGGGGGGGTATAGAATTTATTTTGTGATTTCCTCGCTTGATTTTCTGTTTTGATGTATTATTTTCAATTTTCGTAGTTTCATTTAAGTACAGTATTAGTTAATTTACGTTTTTCTGAGGCGGTCATGAATGCCTCTCGAGTTGAACGATGCCGCTCGAGTTGAATAGAAGGAGTGTAGCACCATCTTGTGGAGGCATTGTAGATTGCTCCTTATAATGCGATGCGTTCAATGTATGAAAAAAAATTGCAAAATAGCCATTCATTGAAGATGCGCCTCATAATCCAGTGCGCCTTTTAGTGCGGAAAATACGGTATATTAAATTGATTATAGGTTGAAAAGGATTTTCCAATCATCTTATTGTATTTTTATTTATGGTTTACACATCTTAACTTTTTGGGGTCTGGAAATGGGGTTTACATTTAATTTTGTCTGACAGGTACTATGTAAATGATGTTGTCTGTAAACAAATCTGTTGGTCATAAGGTTGGCTGTGTATGGTTGTCTGTGAGATACTAAAATCGGATTAATGATCTGAAACAATTAAAGTGTGATTAATGTGCTAAAAAGCAAATCTGAAAGAAAGGAGCGGGCACATACTTTTTTTTCCGGTCCTGTATGCCAGCTTGGATGGACTCATTTTTGCAAATGATTACAAGCATTCAACATTTTTGTCCCAGCCCATTTCAATCCTCATTTGATATTTATTTTACAGTGTTTTAAGAATCATTTGTTTTGATCGGTGAAAGTGTTCTCTGGGACTCTGCTAAATATATTGAGTGCAAATATGTGATATTTCAATACTAGGTCCAAAGAAAACAAATGTTTTGTAATTTACAAATTGATGTTTTGTAAAGTACAGTAATTACATTCTTGTTAAGTCATATTTATTGTTACACAAATAACTCTTAAATGAGCTATGTTTCTTCTCATAGGTGCTGGCTGATAAACACGGTAATGCTGTTTGGTTGAATGAAAGAGAGTGTTCTATCCAGAGGAGGAACCAGAAAGTCGTGGAAGAAGCTCCCAGGTTAGCAAGAAAGGAATGCGGTTTGCTTTAAAAATAATCTTTCCTTGTAAGAGGTATAAATTAATGTATTCAAGGCTTGAAACTTTTTTTGGGGGGGGCGGGGTAGGAGCAGTTTTGCTCATCACTGACTTCATTTGAGGAGCATTTTAGTAATTTTGAGGATCGTTATTTTTTTCCCGGGAACCTGAAGCAAGGATTTCATCAAACAATTAAAGAAAAACAATCCGACAAATTAACAGGGTAATTGATTGTAGAACTGTAGGCATGGTGTATTTCTATTCAGCCTCATATACTCTGAGAACCCCAAATAGAATATCCAGTGCAATAGATTGTCTTCAAGTGTAACCTAATATAGTCCCCTTGTGTGTAATTTGTTCTCAGTATTAGTTCCGTAATTTTCCGGACGAAAATCTCTTTTTTTTTTTCCATAGTTTGGCCGGGGATGCGATTTATACTCTGGAGCGACCTATGTATGAATCGATTAACACATTACAGTACCGGTATATAAGAGGGTGCTCTAGGCCTGTGTTGATACTTTCCACATTGGCGGCAACTGATAAAAACAACTGACGATGACTCAGACGAAAGCCACATAGAAGAGTAAGCACCGCACCTTCTGCCTCCGGAATTCATGGAGTTCTTTAAAAGTGACACCGAGGATGAAGATGTCCTTAAAGTTCATAAAAATCCATAAAAAAATAAGTTGTAAAATTATATTCTTAATTGTCTTTAATTTTCATAAAATAAGATTTTTAGACAAATAAATTGAAGTTTTATATTTTCTTATATTTACAATTTTCTTAGTGTACTTTATTTGAGAATGAATTGAAGTTTTTTTCATACAGTATGTCAAATAAAGGGTTAGCTGATTGCCCCTAAAAATAAAGATGTGCCCTTCCTTTGGCAGCAATGATTTGAAGACCAGCCAAGTGATATGTGGCTTTCTGGTCAGCCCGCATATTGCTGAACGGGCATTAAATTCACTGTAAATCTGCTGCTGAATGGAGAAAAGGTCCTTAAAAATGGCTAAATTAGCCCTCAAAAGTCCTTAAAAGGTCCATAAATCAAAAGCAAGTGGAAGAGTGGTAACCCTTATGTGAACATGCCATGCACGTTCTCAGTTTGTTGTTTATGCGTCATGTAATGTTAGCATATTGTACACTTATTCAGCCTGTTATTCTCAATTTATTTGCCTTTAAAGATGACATGTCTTTTCTTGGTGTTGGAATTTATCAAAGAAATTTCCCCCCAAAATGCGACTTATACTCCAGTGCGACTTATGTTTTTTTTTTTTCTTCTTTATTATGCATTTTATGGCCGGTGCAACTTATACTCAGGAGCGACTTATAGTTTGGAAAATACGGTACACATATTTTGTGAAGGCCTCAGCAGTTTATTTGAGAATGAGACCAGAGACCAACAATAGACAGGTCGGGCTAAAGTTGTGGACAAGTTCAAAGGATGTTTAGATTCTTAAAATACTATAAAGTTTTGAACGTGTCAAGGAAGATGTGAATCCTTTTTCAAGGCATTTTATAAATCAGTTTCAATGACACCGGATTCAAGATGCCTCAGATATCAAGTGTCAGATCAGCATTTTTTTTTTTTGCAACAAATCATGTCCAGCAAATTTTTAGGGATTGTTTTGCTTTGTCAGCACAAACAGCATCCTGTCTTCAAACAGTGAATAGTTGGGGTTAAAGTCTCATTTTCTGCTGATTGGACACTTCACAGGGGCTTTCAAAGTGTTCTCAATGAGTACTTTAATGTTCGACAGAAATACATGTTCTTATTCTGCAACTTTGACTCTTGTAGTACTTTCCTGGACTCTGAGACAAGACGAGCGATGGGTGAGCAAGCAGTTCAGCTTGCAAAGGCAGTGCAGTACTCTTCTGCTGGTACAGTCGAGTTCCTAGTCGATTCTTCGAAGAACTTCTACTTCTTGGAGATGAACACACGGTTGCAGGTCCGTGGCATATGGGTGTCGAAATTCATTCATGTGCATTCCGTTTGTTTTTATTCGACATGTTTTGTTTTGAAATCGAACTGAATCCGCACATTTTAAGACACAAGAGAAGAAGCAGTCTGGGAGCAGACTAGTATCTCTCCAACAATGAGTTGCCTTTTCCCCCGCTAATTTCTTTGTCCTCAGAGGGACTTGAACAGGAACCGTCTGGTTCGAAAGCTCAAAAGTTTTTACACATAAGCTGCTACCGCCACCAAATCTCTAAATGGTCTTGGCCGCATTTCTGCAGCTCAGAGAATTGGTAATCTGATAGCAGAGGCCATCTTTACGAAGATTTTCAATTCACATAATGATGTCCTCATATTTGTTGCCAGCGGTTTCGGGATTTATAACTGTGCTGAGTTATCTTGAAGGGATTGTACTGTAAATTCTCGGTGTCATAAGCCATGCACAGCGACTGCTGTACATGGCAGCAAAGTGTCATTTTTTTTCAGTGTTCTCCAATGAAAAACATACAATGAAATGTTTACAAAAAATGTGAGGGGTATGTCGCACTCACTTTTATAATTGGGATGATGTTGGGATCAGCAGCATTTTTCATGAAACAAGGCAAAAGTTACGGAATCTGTTGCAATACTTTGGGAGCAGCAATTCCTTTATTTTTGCTGTAACCCAAACATATTTGGGCTTGTTAACAGTAATATGAGAAAGGAGATCAGCAGTTTGATCTTTTTCTTGCAGGTATTTACGATACATCTGGATCAGGGACACATGACAATAATGACATGAGTTAGATGTTATGGGTATGCTCACAAAAACACCAACACTCTTGGCTTTATTATGTCTTCATCACCTTTTTATTGTTGTTCTTTTTATTGTTAAAAACCGGCACTGAAACCTTTCTCAGTTTTTAGTAGTCTGGAATGGCCTCAGTTTCTATTTCACGCTCTACGATCCTAGTTACCATACTTTCCGCACCATAAAACACACCTAAAAGCATTATATTTTGTCAAAAGCCATCAGTGCGCCATTCTGATTTCTTGGATGAAGTATTGTAAATGTTCTGAAAAGTGCTTTGTTACAGCTGCAGCAGTTGTGAAGGCTCTATACAAAAAAAGCAGTATTATGTTGCATTCCCTTTAGTGGAGCTCCATCTCGTGGATGCATAACACAAACGCAGCCACTGTTGTAGCTTCAATTCATTCTATGCACCTTATAATGCGGTACGGCCAATATATGAAAACCGTTTCAAAATAGGCCATTCATTGAAGGTGCGCCTTATACTACAACGTGCCTTATAGTGCAGAAAATACAGTAGTTTAACCACTCTTGTCTTAACTTTGGTCTCTAGGTTGAACATCCCATAACAGAGTGTATTACCGGTCTTGACCTGGTTGAGCAGATGATCCGAGTGGCCAAGGGTTACCAACTGCAGCACAAACAGGAAGATATCCCAATAAATGGTTGGGCCTTTGAGAGCCGCGTCTATGCTGAGGTTTGAATTGCTCATCTCTCTCCACATGGTTGCATTTATCGCAAACTTATCTGAATTATCCTTCATGAAAACACTTCAAACTGTATTTTAAAAAAAGTAAGTTAAGTGTCAACATCATCAGTTAAACAACAACCTGTCACTTTGAGCCTTTAATGACAGTTGGCAGCCCCCTCTAAACTGAAGGAGGAAAAAAAGTATTTCGTTTATTTGAAAACAAGTTGTAGTTTGCAAAGAGAGTTAAAAAAAAAAGCTCACTTCAAATTGAATTGAAACAACGTTTAGTCTGATCCAGCGTGCCGATGTTTAAAATTGACCAGTCATATTCAAACATTATGTTAAATAGTACAGAGCGGCCCATTGTGGATTCTTTTTTTTTCTGCTGACATTTCAGCTTGCTTCAAAAGCTAAAATAAAGATCTAATTGTTGACAGCAGCTAGCAAAATATAAACTGAGGTATCCAAGTATATATACATACCATTCAAAGTTCAGACAGTTTAAATCTTGAAGACACGGGTGTCAAACCCAAGGCTTTTTGGCATACCTATCAAAGACAAGGCCCGGGGGCCAGATACGGCCCGCCACGTCCTTTTTTGTGGCCCGCGAGAGCAGGTCATCTGTGTCAGCTTCCATGATCCTTGCTTAAATCTGTAGCGAAATCTCAAATAGTCATACGTAATAAATAATGGTGGCATTTTGCAAAAATTTTGTGACCCTGTTTACACTTAATTGAACAAATACTTGACTGACTTCAAAACTGGTGAGCCATCATTTTTTGTGTACAAGTAATAACAAAGAACAAAAAGTATATAAATAAATATAAATTATAATATAAAATATAATAAGGACGTGCATCAACTTCCCACTTTGAAACATATTGGGGTGAGCGCTACGCATCCAAGCTTCTGGCTTGCGCTCATCCTGACTAGCGGTATGCTTTGGCACAATGTGAAAGTTGATAACTCATTTGAATGTAAATATCACTGATGCAAGAGCAACAACAAATGCCACTGGTGTTTTTATAACATTTGAATGTAATGCACGCAATCAGGTCCATGACTCTGGGTGGGTTTGTCATTTTGAAGCATCTGTTTCTCATATTACTGTTCTTCACATGTAAATGAACCTGAAGTTGCACTTCATCTTTGCATTTGTTCTTTTAGGACCCTTACAAGTCATTTGGTCTCCCTTCCATTGGAAGGTTGTCCCAATACCAAGAGCCAACTGATCTCAACAATGTAGGTAGTGTGCTTCCGAAAATGCTTCCAATGTCTCTATACGACCTCAACGAGACTTTACATCTTTACTCGGATAAACGTTTTCACATTTTGGGCTAAATCAATTTGTTACTGACAGGTCCGGGTGGACAGTGGCATCGAGGAAGGAAGTGACATCAGCATCTATTATGATCCTATGATTTCTAAGGTTAGTCAATCATTATACAAACCTCGGTTGTCGTCCATAATCCGTTCCAGAAGGCTGTTCGAAAACTGAATTGTTCGATAACCGAAACCATGCTCTTTTTAAAAAAAAAAAAAATGTTTATTGAACACGTCTGCTCACAATGGAAAGCGACACGAGGAAGCATCACTTCCTCGTCTACCCGAGGAAGCTTCACTTCCTCGTGTAAGGAAGGCAAGAGCAGTCAAATGGTGCATTTAAGTGCGCTCAGTTTGTTCGAGAACTGAATTTCGGTCGTAATCCGAGGCATAAAAAATTGAAATTTTTGGTCGAAAACCGATTTGG